GTCAGAACACTTCATTTGTGTTGTGGCATTTGCCACAACTGCCCGACCCTTTAAGATATTTTAAAATGTAAGAATATTAATAGCACCCTTTTATATTATATAACTTTCTTTGTACATGGCTTACTTAATAAAAGGGAGTATATGACAAGGTGCAGAAGGAATTAGCCCCTCACAGCTGTTCCCAGGAATGTTTGCCTCCATCTACCCACAGGCAGGAAAAGGGCCCAAGCACTGATCTCTCAGTTATCCTGGCAACACAGGCATCCCAACAGGAACTGGGCTGCTCTTAGCTCAAGGAGGGTTCTAGATTCAAACACAAACCCATCCCTGAAGATAAATGAATCAAAGGGACAGCAACCACATGACACTACTGTCAAGAGGAAATCCTGTTTGTAGGCCTCTTGGAAAAGTCTGGCTGTGCATATGGAACAAAGGAGTGTTCCCCTTCCCCCCCCCCCCCCCCCCATATCAAGCAGCAGGTTTAAGAACTCTCTGGCTTCTGGCTCTGGCCACTTTTCAAAACCACAAGTACATCCAAGGGCGGCCAAGACAAGAAAGCTAAGAGATACGGTCTCCGAAATAGAAGATCAACTCTCTTCTCCAAGCCAGCCCGATGATGCTTGACAAATGAGGCTCTATTCTCCCCAGCACTCATGTCTGAGTTGTCAGGGTGTTAGATGGGAGACTCCCCTCTTCCATTCAAGTAGACAGTTCAAGGGTGCTGACAGCTGTCACTATTGTTCTTACAAGCTATGGAGCACAGTGTCTGGGGGATGGCCAACAAGCACCATCCCTTCCCACCAAATTCAGTTATCCACTAGGGTGTACGCTTAGGTGCCTCAAGAGCTCTCAACCCATTTCCCCACTGATGATGATGGTGAGGATGAGGATGAGGAGGAAAAGGATAGGGGGAGGAAGAAGAGCAAGATGGGAGGAAGAGAAAGAGGAGGAGGAGTTCTGCGATGCCATAAACAGGTTTTGATGTCCAATAAGAATATGAGCATACCTTTTAAGATATATATATATATTTTTGGTTTTGATTTTGAGACAGTTTTTTTGTTTTTTTTTTTTTTATATACCTTTTAAGATATATATATATTTTTTTGGTTTTGATTTTGAGACAGTTTTTTTGTTTTTTGTTTTTTTTTTTTTGTTATTGTTGTTGTTTTGTTTTTCCCCTGTGTATCCCTGGCTGTTCTGGAACTCACTCTGTAGACCAGGCTGGATTCAAACTCAGAAATCTGCCTGCCTCTCTCTCCCGAGTGCTAGAATTAAAGGCCGAGTGCTAGAATTAATTTGCCACAACTGCCCGACCCTTTAAGATATTTTAAAATGTAAGAATATTAATAGCACCCTTTTATATTATATAACTTTCTTTGTACATGGCTTACTTAATAAAAGGGAGTATATGACCTATGTGGATATATCAGCTTAAGAATTGTAAACATTTGGGTCACAAGGGGGATTGTCTACTTTGTTCAAGGTCTCCCATGGGATGGGTGCTCAATTCATTTTCAATTACGATAACAGTCACAGTTTAATGATTAATAAGCTAAGCATGTCTGGTGCAAAAATAGCAAATCTGCAACAAGTCAGAATACAGTAGCCCCCTTATCTCCCAACAGTGCTTGATGATGAGACAGTACTGGACCCTGCACGTGTTCTGTTTTGTCATGGACACACAGCTATGATAAACTGTAATTTATAAATCAGGAACAGCAAGAGAATAACAGCAAAAAGAAACTAATAACAAGCATAATGATATACTGTATGTCTTGGCAACTTCAACATACATTTTTCATTTTTTTAAGTTACAAACTTTCAATTCTCACTTTTAAAGAGGTCTCATGGGTGTATCTGAGTTGCCAGCACCACTACTTCTGTGATTTGGGGCCATGATGAAGTCAGGTATGGCTACCTGAACACGAACCATACCACAACAGTCAACATGGCATCTACTTGACTAATGAGAGGAAGCAAATATAGTTTGGGGACACAGCACCAGAATGTTGGTAATTGAAACCCCAGAAGTGGAGATGGAGATTTACAATACAAGGAAGCCCTGGTCTGGGTGCTGCCTCGAGGGAGCCTAGGACGTCCCTGCTCTAGAACCTCGGGTTGTCATTCATGTTTCTCTCCTCTAACCGCCCATGTGCAGAACTCTTCCTCAGATCATGGTCTATTTCAAAAATGAATGAGGTAACTCATAATCTTACTGGAATTTTTTGTTATTGTTTTTTGAGACAGTGTTTCTCTGTGTAGCCTTGGAGCCTGTCCTGGAACTTGCTCTATAGACCAGGCTGGCCTTGAACTCACAGAGATCCACCTGCCTCTGCCTCCAGAATGCTGGGATTAAGGGAATGCACCACCACCACCCAGATGGAATATGTTTAAAATAAGAAAAAGAAATCATGTACTCTGAATTCTTAAAAAAAAAAAAATCAAGGGGAGATTTTTTTTTTTTTTAACCATGTTTGAGCCGGTGCTGGTGGCACACGCCTTTAGTCCCAGCACTCGGGAGACAGAGGCAGGTGGATCTCTGTGAGTTCAAGACCAGCCTGGTCTACAAGAGCTAGTTCCAGGACAGCCTCCAAAGCCACAGAGAAACCCTGTCTCGAAAAACCAAAAAAAAAAATGAATTTTTGATAAAGAGTAGGATATGCACTTGGTACTTCTTGTATTTATGTTAAGTAGTATGATTTTTTTTTTTGAGTGAAGAAAAAGAAGGTATGAATTTAGATGAATGGGACTCTGAACAATACCCAAACGCTAAGTCGCCAGGACTTATATTTATGTTAAGTAGTATGATTTTTTTTGAGTGAAGAAAAAGAAGGTATGAATATAGATGAATGGGACTCTGAACAATACCCAAACGCTAAGTCGCCAGGACTTGTTAATTTTTCTGCAGCCAGAACTGCAAACGCAGGACTTGTGTCCACCCTGTCATATGATCTTTTCCAGAGCCTCCCCTCTGTCCAGTCACTTTCCAAATAAAAAAAAAAAAAAAAGCTTTGAACTCCAGGCAGGTTGGCAGTTTGGACCTTGGGTGTTTATGAAGAACTTCCTGGAGATAGGAGACAACTCCACTGTCACCTCCTCCCCCACACCCGACCCAGCTCTACAGTTTTCCCGTGTGAGCTGGCAACTGGTCAGGGAGGACCTCATGGTTTTAAGGTGTGGCTCTGTGAACTGTCAGTGTCTGGTACATGGCAGAGAACTAGCTCAAGCAGAGATTAGGCAAGAAAATGTGCTCTCCAATAAGCCAATCATAGCAGCCAGTTCTGCCTCTGCATCTTTCAGCCTGACATTGATTGGTGCTTGCTTCTGGCAGTCATTTTCTTCATCCTTGCCTACTGGATGCCAGCAGTGCCATATTAACAATTACGCACTCAGGCATTTGCTCATTTCAGCAGCTGGAAGCCTGCAGGCTTTCTGTTAAGAAACCACACACCTGGGTGTCCCAGAGGTGGCCTGTGGCTTCCCATTCCCCAGGATAACCATCTGATCCGACATTAGACACACTTCAGGATTCTCTAACACTTCATACCTGGGCTTCGCCTGTTTCCCTCTTACAAACATCATGAAACTAAAATTGATGCTTCACTCTCGTCTGCTCATCCCCAACCCCTAAAATCTCCACTGTTCACCTCTTATCTTAACCAACTCATTACAGACCACACCAGCTTTCTTTGGGGTCTGCAAACACACCAGACTTGCTCTGCGCTCCAGCTCTTTGCCTTTGGAAGAGCCTCCATGTGTCAAGGTTGCCTTTTTCATTAAGTAATCTTAGATATCTCCTTAATGACCTTTACTAATACAAAGCAGTAACTACCTATGTCCACTGGGGGCCAGCATGCCAACCTACTTCTACAGCATGTAGTATGATCTTGAGTTGTCTTATTTAATTACTTGTATCTGATTTCCCACTGAAATACAATTCAGAGAAGGCGTGGCTTCAGTTGCAAGATTACTGCAACACTTTGGCTGCTAGAGTGCCTTCAATGCTGGACCAAGCCTTAAGTGCTCAATGGGACTGGGGAGAATTTTTCTGTGGAAACCCTGGGGACTATAAAAATCAATATACTCCAGGGAACATAGGTGTTCAATATATAGATAGAACCAAAACAGTGAGCTAGATGAGAGTGGCTTTCTTTGCTACAAGGCTGGACAAGAAAGATGAGGGAAGAAACAGCCCTGTTCTTTACCTGATACCATCACACACTGCTGATCTACAGTTAAAGGAGCAGTTCCCAAATGGGTTCTAGCAAGCAGAGGCCAATCCCAGCCCAGCCACCCACTACAAATGCAGAGAAGCAGCGTTTGAGAGTTACTCACCCAGAGCCCTGGCCTCAGCAGAGAGAAACCAAACCTTCCACAACAGCGTCGTGAGGCTGGTCTGGCAATGTGGCCACACAGAATTTAATTTTGGCGTATTGACAACTAAAGGAAATGCAGATCCTAACTTAGCTTGGCATTGGTATAGAATTAAATGGATGTAGTTTAATTTTTTAATGTGCTTTAAGAGTCTTACTGTAGCCAGTTAAGATTTTAAAATCTCAAATATTGGATGATATGAAGAAATGATTTTCTAAAGCTGTTATATTTAAGTTGTGGTTACATGCACATTAAATCAGAATCCTTATCCTAAAAAGGCATGTACAAAAATATGTGCAGATAAAGTAAGTCTATTAGAAAATGAGATTTGCTTCAATAATAGCAGAGGAGAGGAGACGGAGAAATAAAGGCAAAACAGGACTGGCTGTATCAGTTGGTAATAGCTAAGGGCAGTGACAGCTTAATAGAAGTTACACTGTTCACTTGGGCTAAGGAAGCTGTTCAGGGGTATAGCACTTGCCTCACATATAGAGGCCCTGGCTCCTCTAACACCGGAAGGAAGGAAGAAGGGAGAAAAGGAAGGAGGGATTCATACAGTTTTACATACATGGAACATAAAGCCCTTTGAACAAATATTTGTCACTCATAAAATGCCAGGAAGTTACCTGAAGGTGAAGGTTTCCCCTTTCCAGTCTTGCAGTGGGTTTTCCTGGATGATGTCCTGGGTCAGAGGTGAGCTCTGTCGTGGGGATTTGGAGTGGGGGAGGGTGCCCATGTGACTGACATTGTCGCAGGACCGAATGGGAGGAGGGCCTTTTTTCTTCCGTGGAAGAGTGCCGTGTATAGACACGTCTTGATAGGTATCTGCGCGATGTTCAGCCAGAGGGGACCTGCTGCTCAGAAGGTCCATGGACGAGGCCAAGGGGAACTGGTGATTCACAACCATGTTTCTCGGAAGGCTTGCAAATTTTCCCGCAGCCATGATTCTCAACTCTGAGGAGGGAAAATAGAGGGAAGGCTAAAGCTAAGATGTTCACAAGAGTCAATTTCAAGCTTACCCAAGAAACTGGGAAAAACCACAGAACACCAAAAGGTAAATAATGTCTGAAGGCATCACTAGTGGAACATGGTAAGCACTGATAGTTTGTTCATCCTCTCTTTCAGGGCTCTGGAGAGAAATTCAGAGGGATGGGCAGCAAATCCAAACAGACGAATCCATCTCAGAGCTGTTAGAGGCACGTGGGCCATCTTTATCATTACTAAGTGGGGAGATACAAGTAAGGAAGAAAAAAAAAAAAGCCTTATGAAAGGACTGGTAGGTTCAGGAGTAAATACCAAGAAAAATACTATGAATTGTTAGATGATGCCTACACTGATTTCCAACACCCTACAAATGACAGGCAGAGATGGTTGGAATTCTTTAGCCACCGGGATTTCCACAGTGCCAGACCAAAACTGTGCTACCCACAATGATAGGGCAGCTTTTCTAGCAAAGACTCGATGTTTATAAATAAATCAGTGCACTCTACTTTATCAAGGCAGGGACAGGGGTCAGGGATCAGGGGTGGCTCTTTCTTCCATATGTCAGCATGCTCTGTTGTACCGGAAAGCCATCAGGTGGTAACACCCTGTAGATTTTTCCAAGAGTCAGGAACCTGCCAGCCACCAGCAGGGTTAAGCAATACCCAGAGGTGCATGTAAAGTTGGGGAAGAAGAAAAAGGGAAGACAGAAAGAATAAGAAAGTGAGGGAGCACAGAAAAAGAGGAAACTGACCATTGAGAGAGCCACACCAGCTCCAACAACTGTTCCCAGGTATGGCCGGCAGAGTCACTTGAACAGTAACAAAGCTCCAAACTAAATGATAGTTTTTCCCTAAACCAGATTGTACAAGACCCATCAAGGCTAACTTGCAAATCAAACAGGGGCCCTACTAAAAAGCTGTAACAATTCCGTGGATAAGATGTCCTCCATTGAAGGGGAAAGGGTCACCATCCCCTGAGCAAATTGAGAACATGAGAAGAGGGGGGAGGAAGCTACGAGAGTGAGAAGGGAAGAAAAGGAAGGATGCAGAGGTCATGAGGAAGCAGAAATTTTGAGTCAGGTGGAGATAAGAAGAAAGGACATATGACAGGTAGGATTTTAGTTGGGGGGGTGGTAGAGGAGGAAGGGAGAAAGAAGGGAACTGGGATCGTCATGTAATCCAATCTTGTTTGTAATTCAAATATATAAAAATAAATAAATAAAAAAAATTTTAAAAAGTGTTTAAACAAACAAACAAAAAAGCCCAAAAGATGTCCTCCATTGCTTAAGATATCACAGGGCCTGCATGTATGTCACCATGGGACAGCTGAATTTCACAGCCTATCCTCAAGCTCGCAGCACCCACTCCTCACTTACCAGCCTTTCCATTGCAATTGTCAGGAGCCTTGAGTGAAAATTGTCCCTCTAGCACCCCTGAAGAGTTGGCTCTATACAGAATTGTTGACTCTGGGAGCTCACCAAGGTGGCAGTGGGATAAAAGGAGTTTGCAAGGGAAAAATTTGTATGCGAAGCCACACAAATCCACCACTACATGCAACAGAGAAAAGGTCACAAGTGCTGGGAACTGGGTAGAATACGCTCAAGAATACAGTCCTAACCCTGCCCTCTGTTCTTTGCCAGCCTTGATAATTCAGAAGCTTGCCTGATGCATGTGAGACCACATAGAAGGCTTGGCTCACAGGGATGTAGAAAAACAGGGTGGTGAGTCTGGGGAGGGCCCCTCCTGTCCTGGCCAGTTCCTGGCACACTGTCAACACTTACTCAATGTTAATCATTGTTATTTAAAAAAGAAATCAAAATTCCCTAGCCCTCTACCTGACCACCAGTGACGCAAACCAAGAGCAGTCCCCCACCCCACTCTCATTCCCACCCCCTACAGCTGTGAACTCTCTCTGTTCAAGCTATCAGCTCCCTCCTTCTTCACTGACAGGCTTGCATCTTCTCAAAGGAACTGGTACGGTTATGGTGGGGAGAGAGACATAGCACAAGGCATAGCACTACACAATGTATTTTCGTGTGTAAAGGCCATGCTGTTGATCAAGTTGGTTTCCATGAGCCAGGAAGAGCCGAAGTGACTTTAGCCCCAGTGACTTTGGCATGGGGCCTCTCTGCACATCCAAGTTTGGTTTGGAGTTTGAGATTGCACTAGAAGGCTCTAAAATGCCCTTACATACTCCACACTTCAATTTATCCTCTGACAGCAAAGTCTGTTACCATCTTTCTTTCCTATTTTTAATTCAACAAACATTTAAGTCGTACTCTATGTAAGATCATAGAGCCCCAAGCTAGAACTCACAAATAGTGACCCTCATCCTGGAAGGAACAATAGTTAACTTTGACAGAAGTACTCCTAGGGATCCAAAAAAAGACAAGAAACAAAAAATTGAAGGCCTCAGGAAAAGCCTTCTGAGAGGACACTGTAACAGCAGATCCATACAGTATGGAAGCACCCTCACACACTGGGGCCATTGCAGGCCATGTGCTTGGGTAGTGAAGTTAAGAAACACTTCCTGAATGACCTACATACAGCTTAGGGCAAGGCCATGGAGTCTTAAGGGTTCTGCCAAAGTGTCTGGGCTTGACTGGTGAGTGCCAGGGAAGACCTGTACAGGAGGGATCCAGACTGCACCTCGGTAGGTGACTCTGGTAATTCCAGAAGGGGAAAAGGAAGCCAAGCTGTCACTCAGGCAGATGGCAGTAAACCAGGAAGAACAATGAAGGATTCTGACTTCAGGAAGTGGCCAAGAGAAAGGACAGGACAGAGCGAAGAATTATTAGAAGCTCAAGGTCTCTAGTTGGAAGGAAGGAAGCCAAATCCACAGTCATGCGGGGATGGCCTGATGCGGTAGCACGAGTGGTTTCAGAAGGGCTCCAGGCAGGAGGAAGATTAGGTCACCAACTGGAGCTGTGTGTGTGGCACCAGGGGACAGTTAAGTGCAGCAGGAGGTTCATTCTGTATGTTAGACATGGAGCCAGATGAAATCAACACAAAGCGAGTAAACCAGAGCACTTACTGGTGTCACCAGTGACAGCGGATGTGAAAATATCTCCCACACTACCAGAAATCATCAACAAAACATGAACAGCATCCTCACCCTGGCTGCCTCAAGCCTATCGGGACCAAGGCAGAGAATGAGTTCTAAAATACAAAAACCTAGGGCTCAGTCTGGCTGCCTGTTAAGAATCCTATAGGGAATATTTACAGTGTGGCTCAACCACAAACCAGATGCTAAAATCAGAATCTCTGTGGGCAGGACACCAGCATCAGCATTTTTAAAGCTCTACAGCATTGCCCAATCTGGAGCCAGGACTGAGAAGCACTGCACTGGGGACTCTATTTGGCAGAGAGCACCTTTCAACTTCTCTACCTGAATAACAGAATCAAACGGTGGAAGACATCAAATATGGCTGACACTGTGCTCGGTCTTCAAGACAAACTCAACTTCTCTACCTGAATAACAGAATCAAATGGTGGAAGACATCAAATATGGCTGACACTGTGCTCGGTCTTCAAGACAAAAAACAAACAAACAAACAATATAGAAATGATGCCTGAGCTTGACAGGTTAAAATTTGTAGAGGAAGCTGACAATAAGAGTAAATGCTGGTAGTTCAAGTTCATTTTCCCAGTTCAGAGGAATCACGTTCATTCATTCAAAATATTTTCTGTGAGTGCCTACAGTGTACCAGGGAGGGGCCATAATAAGGGTATGCTCTCAAGATGCCTGTAATGTCGGGTGTCCGCCAAAGCACATAAACAAGAAAATAAACCAGGCAATACCCAAGCTGTAAGTACTCCAAAGAATTCAAAACAAAGCACAACAGCTAAGAGATGCTGGCTGTAGAAAAAGATAACTTTATGATATGATGGTCTGGCAGGCCCTTTCTCAAGAGTTAACAATGACATGAGACCTGAGAAAAGAGATAAGGGACCAGGCAAGAAAAGATCTGAAGGCAGTGCCAGGCAGGGGAAGGATTCCAGTGCAACAAATGCAAAAGCCTAGGAATAACTAGTTAGAACAGATCCACAGAGGATCTGAACTCTTGAGTCCCACGTATTCTTCCTCACTGGCAGATGTTTCTGTGTTGATGTCAGTAGTAATTCAACAATCTTATGTACCATTTGGTCTCTGAAAATCAAAATGGCATGCCTCAGAACCTGTGTTTCAGAGCCAGTATTTACTACTTCAAACCTCTGCCCTGCCTCTGCCTTGGTAGCTATGAGGCTTGGGACAAGTTACACCACTCTCTAACAGTCAGTCACCATTTCTTAAATGTGCTAACAATCCTGTCTTCAGGGACTGCTGGGAAAATTAAATGTGATCATGTATAATGAAGTCTCTGGTGCACAGCAAGCAAGAATACATCTCCTCCGATCAGGGCAGGGCCGGTGTCTGCATAGCTACTTAGTCACTGTGTCCCCGCTGGAGTTCACACGAGAAAACACTGCAGCTGGGGAGGGTGAGGAGCGAGATGTTTCAACCTACAACAGATGTAAACACACCAGGCCAAGAGGACACAGACACAAAAGGGCATAGACACCAAGTGAACCATATTCGAGCTTTCAAACAAACACCAGCAAAGACTTTTGACCCAACCGCCTTGACTGACAGACCCTGAAATACACACAAGGTCAGATGCTACATCCTGATAGGGGAAGCAGGAGAGTAGGAATGCTGAGGACAGGATGGCCTCACAACAAACTCTAAAGCAGCCTTGCTGCCTGCCTTCCTGACTCTAGTCAGCCACCAAGCTTAGAAAAGTTAACAAGCTTGGTCCAGCTCACTTACTCTACAAAGATGGCTAAAACAAAACAGCAAAACCTGGTGATCTTGCAAGCTGAAGCAAAGATAAACAGCACACTTGCTTAGACTCTTCTCCAGTTCTGAAACAGGATATTTTCAAATTGAACTCACACATGGCAATCTGATGGAAGGGCCTCAAGAACTTTTATAT